GCCGGGCATGGTGGCACATGCCTGTAATCCCAGCTAGAGACCACTGTTTAGCTACCTTTGAGTTAACTTATACCAGGTAGCAAACATAATTGACCATACTTATGCAAGAATAGACTCAGTTCCTAGAGCTGGAAATATGCTCAAAATGGGTTGGTTCTGTCCAATATCATTAGGTAGATAAATATGTTATCCCCATTTTACAGATGAAATGAAAGGTTTAGACAGTTGAATTGCTTGGATAAGGAAAAAAGGTACTGAAGCCAGAGTTGTTAACATTGCTTCCTCTTCATTCATTCTTCAGTACCACGAAATGTGTATGTATAAAGCTAGAGTATATACTATGCAATATAATGCTTAGTGGATAATTACAGATATGTAATTAACATAGTTAATAATTCCCATCACTGTACTAACAGTGTTACTTTCAGTACAGACTACATTAATCTCCTGACCAGTCCAGGCTCAGCATGTTCAGGAAAGAGAGTGTCGGTTCCCCAAGTAGCAGGGGCAGCCTGGTATTGTGTGCACACCAGAGTTAGGAACCTGCCTTCCTGAGTTCTACCTTCTTGGTAGCATGAAGAGAAGTGCTGGGCTTCCTTCTAGCATGGCAGCAATAGCCTTCAAGGCAGAAGGCCGGCAAAGCAATCCTGAAGCTCCTGCCTTTGTGAAACCCACATCCTCCCAACTGGGGCCTGCCTTTGTGGAACCCACATCCTCCCAACTGGGGCCTGCCTTTGTGGAACCCACATCCTCCCAACTGGGGCCTGTCTTTTCTGGACTGTTCCAAAGTTGCATACCAGCACTTGCCGCGCTCGCTCGGTCTCCCATTTAAGACTGGCTTTGATCTCACTGACAGTCACGTAGCCATTCTTCTGAAGGAAGGAGGAATGGGGATTGAATCAGTTAAAGAGTGCACCTTCCCTTAGAACCCAGGACCTGCCCAGGAACAACAGACTTATCCAGACAGGAGGAAAAGCTGTCAAGCATGAGGGAACACAGAAAATGTTTAAAGGTTCCAGCGGGGAGAGAGACAAGTGACTTTCAGCATGACAGAGGTAGGTTGGTGGGTTCAATCTTAAAAGTGGAGTCCAGGCCGGGCACGGTGGCTCATGTCTGTGATCCTAGCACTTTGCGAGGCTGAGGTGGGGGTATCACCTGAGGTCAAGAGTTCAAGACCAGCTTTGCCAACATGGTGAAACCCCATCTCTACTAAAAATACAAAAATTAGCCGGGCATGGTGGCACATGCCTGTAATCCCAGCTACTCGGGAGGCTGAAGCAGGAGAATCGTTGGAACCTGAGAGGTGGAGGCTGCAGTGAGCCAGAGATTGTGCCACTGCATGCCAGCCTGGGCGACAGAGTGAGACTCCATCCCAAAAAAACAAAAAAAGTGGGTCCCTTGTACTAACATGTTAAGTTAGACTTCTGCAAAGCACTCTAGAGCATGACAAGGGAAGATTCTGAACAATTAACTGATAGGAAGAAGAATCATAAACTGCTAATAATATCCATTATTTAAATATTCAGCCCTTGTCCTGCCTCATTCTACTCATCCTCCAATACAGAAAAGCCCCTCCCTTATTTAGTTCTGTTTTACATTATAAAGAAAACTGGGCCAGGCGAGGTGGCTCACGCCTATAATCCCAGAACTTTGGGAGGCCGAGGCGGGCACATCACCTGAGGTCAGGAGTTCGAGACCAGCCTGGCCAACATGGAGAACCCTCATCTCTACTAAAATTACAAAATTAGCTGGGCGTGGTGGCACACGCCTGTAATCCCAGCTACTTGGGAGGCTGAGGCAGGAGAATCACTTGAGCCCAGGAGGCTGAGATCGTAGTAAGCCAAGATTGCGCATTGCACTTTGGCCTGGGCAACGAGTGAAACTCCATCTCAAAAATAATAAAGAAAACTGAACATATCTACCCTAAATACTTGATGGGGATTTGGGGGAAGATGGCATATGCTTAAGGCATAATGAGGGACAGAGGCATGGCAAACAAGATTTTTTAAAATCTGTTTTTGAAGAATCCATAAAGTTGTTTCAAAAGACATCAGAGTCTGGCTACCCAAAGAAATCTAGTTAGCTGTCTGCATGTCTGTCTACCTGACTAGACTGTAAGCTCCTTGAGAGCAGGAATTTTATCATTCCTATCTTTATATGCCCCACAGCCTGGCCCAGTGCTTTGCACTGTAGCTGCTCAATAAATGTCTGCTGAACAAGAACAGGCCTGAGTAGTTCATCCATTGGATAGTCTCAGCAAAAGACCTGCATAATGGGGAGCAGGAGCTCAGAACTGCTGACAGCCTTGCATCCCAGTACCTGCACACACACACACTCGAAGGTGCACCAGTACCTCTGCCAGCTGTAGCACCACGGTGTGATCCATATTGAGCTCAGCTGGAACAGACTGAATGAGGTAAGTGCCGCCCACAGGGATGATGCCGAAGCCAGTGCCAAGTGCCTTTAGTTTCTTGATGGCTCTGATCAGGTCGTCTCTGAGGTGAGGAAGAGTTGCTTAATGACCCTTGGCAGATCAGACCTAACAACACAGTTTCAGCTCTGCCCTGGGCAGGACACTGACAGAAAATTTAAAAGACTGCACAACTCCCAGGCGCAGTGGCTCATACCCATAATCCCAACACTTTTGGGATGCCCACATGAGAGGACTGCTTGAGCCCAAGGGTTAGAGACCAGCCTGGGCAACACAGCAAGACTTTGTCTTTACTAAAAAATAAAAAAATAAAAAATTAGCAGGGCATGGTGGCAATCGCCTATAGTCCTTGGAAGGCTGAGGTAGGAGGATCACTTGAGCCCAGGAGTTCAAGGCTGCAGTGAGCTGTGATTGTGCACCACTGTACTCCAACCTGGGTGACAGAGCAAGACCCTGCCTCTAAAATAATAAAAGGCTGCACAACACTCAACTATGTCAGTAAAAAGACAGGGTCAAGGAGCAATAAGTGATGCTTTGACAATCATAGGAGTCAGGCTCTCTGCTCAGCAAACCACTCATTCCAACACTCAGACAGAGGTCAAAGATACACCTGCAGATGCCCATCAGGAAACGTGAATGAGTGAGCTGAAGAGGCAATAGGGGGTAGTGTCACCTGTGGCAAACTAGAGAATGCTTATCTACTTTAAAGGGGGCAACCCAGCTGATTATTGCCAAGTGGAAATTCAAGCCCAATACTGCCAAGTTTTCTGATTCTAACTGAAATCAGAGAAGAAGAAAACCTACAAAACAGTGTGTAGATCACATATCCAGCCCACACACAGAGTTTAAAACCTCTGCCAAAGCTCAAAAATATATCACCCAAACAGCCAGGGAAAGGGCACTTTTAGGTAGATTGGAATGCATTCTCCAACTCTCAAGAATAGCAAACTGAAATGCTTCAAATGCTCACCCTCTCTTCATGAGAATTTGCAATGAGTATGGCTAGTAATCTTTTGTTATCACTTTCCTTTTTTTTTTTTTTTTAAAGAGATGAGGTCTTGGCCAGGTGCAGTGGCTTACACCTGTAATCCCTGCACTTTGGGAGGCCGAGAGTTTGAGACCAGCCTAGCCAACATGGTGAAACCCCATCTCCACTAAAAATACAAGAACTAGCAGGGCATGGTGGCAGGTACCTGTAATCCCAGCTACTCAGGAGGCTGAGGCAGGAGAATCACTTGAACCGGGGAGGCAGAGGTTGCAGTGAGCCGAGATTGCGCCACTGCGCTCCAGCCTGGGCAACAGAGTGAGACTCCATTTCAAAAAAAAAAAGAAAAGTAGAGATGACATCTTGCTGTGTCCCAGGCTGGAGTGCAGTGGTGCAATCATAGCTCACTGCAGCCTAGAACTATGGGTGCATGCCTCAACACCCAACTACTTTTTGTAGAGACAAGGTCTCACTACACTGCCCAGGCTGGTCTCAAACTCCTGTCTTCAAGCAATCCTCCCACCTCAGCCTCCCAAAGGGCTAGGATTACAGGTGTAAGCTACTGCACCCAGCCTCGTTACTTTTCTTTGAATATTCTAGGTCTTCAAGATCTCATAGTAGGCTGACTCCTTGGAAGTCACATCAAAAACAGCCTTTTATCTTTTCTCAAACTGGACTCACACATAGAGGCTGGTGAACTAGATCAATTTATATTCCATCATCTCACTACCACCTCCTTCCCCAGCCTTTCTAGGCACCTACTCTAGTCTCCTTGGCCTCAAATAATCTCAGCCCTTGGATACAGTCTAACACCTGCAATCCAAGCACTTTGGGAAGCTGAGGCGGGCAGATCACTTGAGGCCAGGAGTTCAAAACCAGCCTGGCCAACATGGTGAAACCCTATCTCTACTAAAAATACAAAAATTAGCCGGGCATGGTGGTGCACACCTTGTAATCCCAGTTACTGGGGAGGCTGTGGCACAAGAATTGCTTGAATCCAGAAGGCAGAGGTTGCAGTGAGCTAAGATCAGGCCACTGCACTCCAGTCTGGGCGACAGCAAGACTCTTTCTCAAAGAAAAAGACTATATATAGCCCCAAGTTTGTTAAAAAATAATACATGAAGAAATGCTTGGAAGGAACTACATTAAAATATATAGCAGTTGTAATCTCTTAGTTGAGAAATAATGGTTTTTGTTTCCCTTTTTATATCTCTATGTTTTCTGTTTTCTAAAAATAGCCAGGCGTACGGGCCCATGCCTATAATCCCAACTACTTGGGAGGCTGAGGTGGGAGGATTCCTTGAGGCTGCAGGTAAGCAACGATCTTGGTAGCAGTAAGCTATGATCGTGCCACTGTACTCCAGCCTGGGCGACAGTGAGACCCTGTCTCTTATTTTTTGTTTCATTTTTTTTTTTTCTGTACAATATGGAGATCATACAGATTTCTAAGCTAGCCTAGACATGAGGAATAGGGAGAAAAGAGTTCCATCTGAATTTTTAAATTTTTTTTTATTTTAAGACGGAGTCTCACTCTGTTGCCCAGGCTGGAGTGCAGTGGCGCGGTCTCGGCTCACTGCAAGCTCTGCCTCCTGGGTTCACACCATTCTCCTGCCTCAGCCTCCCGAGTAGCTGGGACTACAGGCGCCTGCCACCACGCCTGGCTAATTTTTTGTATTTTTAGTAGAGACGGGGTTTCACTGTGTTAGCCAGGATGGTCTCGATCTCCTGACCTCATGATCCACCCACCTCGGCCTCCCAAAGTGCTGGGATTACAGGCGTGAGCCACCACGCCCGGCCCCCATCTGAATTTTAAAGACCTCTTTCTGTACTCCAAGGGACTGAAAGACAAGACCTACTGACTGACATCCTGGGCGAACTTGCCCCTTCCCTTCAACACCTGTTGATGTAGTTCCTCCAAAGTTATCAGACCTATTGGAGACAGAAATCAGAAAAAGAGATTACCCACTTTAAATAAGTCGACAGCCATTACATTCCAGTGGCCTACGAATAGCAAGTAACATTCTAGTTCCTAATTTTTTTTAACTCTCTCCTTGGCCGGGCACAGTGGCTCGCGCCTGTAATCCCAGCACTTTGGGAGGCCGAGGTGGGTGCATCACCTGAGGTTGGGAGTTCGAGATCAGCCTTACCAACATGGAGAAACCCCATCTCTACTAAAAATACAAAATTAGCCAGGTGCGGTAGCGCATGCCTGTAATCCCAGCTACTAGGGAGGCTGAGGCAGGAGAATCACGTGAACCTGGGAGGCAGAGGTTGCAGTAAGCCAAGATCACGCCAGTGCACTCCAGCCTGGGCAACAAGAGGGAAACTCCGTCTCAAAAAAAAAAACTCTCTCTCCTTATGAAATAACTGGCCATAATATGAGAAATGGATTCTGAGACTTTGCTAGGCCTGTCAACAGAGTGAGAGCCATGAAAATCTAAAAACAAAAGCAGTGTCATCTTTGAAAAACTATAAATGTCCTCTTGACATCAAGGCCATGTCTATTTATAGTCGATGATTTGTAAATGGTTTTAAGTTTTCTTTCTGCAACTTCAATCCACACCATTTAATGTGCTTACTAAGAAAGATGGCATCACCCAATGACGAATTTTAAGGTCACATTTTAGGGAACACAGAGACTCAGTTGGCATTCCCATATGTCAGAGAGACAGTGCAGGACTACAGTTACTAATGAGAAAATCACTCCAGACACATCAGATATCAGGGGAAAAGGCCTATTTCCTACCTCCCTACTATTTTCTGTACTGAGTAGGGATTAGACCTTCCTGGCCAAAGATCTTTGGAGAACAGAGACAATCATTCAGGTAATTCTATTTACCCTTGGCCATGGAGACTTGCCATGGATTCAACTGCATGAAACAGCTAAGATGTCTCTCAAGTCCTTAGAGGCCTGTAGACTGCAGGACGGAAACGATAATCTTTTACGGTTTTCTCCCTCTCAGAGAAGTCCAGAGTCCAGTTCACAGGACCCAGCCACCCTCACCTCCATTCCGATGCTTCAGCGCCAGGCACACTTCGATAATTTGGACACCTAGTTCGTAATAGAAGTCCCCCACGCCCAGCATCTCAGACCAAAATCCTTTTCCAGCTACAAGACAGAAAAACAAAATCTCGGTTATTGATTAATTTATATCCCTTCTTTTCTTTCAAAGCTGCATTAAAACATCTATCGTATAGGAAGTTTTCCCTGCATGGCATGAAGTTCTTCTGCTCCATTTGCTACTCAGGAAACAATCAGACTTATTACGGTAACTCCTGCTGAAGAACAGGGTCAGACAGTTCCAGAGGGCAGGCAATCTAAAAGTCATTTCTGGCTGGGTGCAGTGGCTCATGCCTGTAATTCCAGTACTTTCAGACACCGAGGTGGGCAGATCGCTTGAGACCAAGAGTTCGAGACCAGCCTGGCCAACACAGCAAAACCCCATCTCTACTAAAAATAAAAAAAAATTAGCCAGGAGTGGTGGCGTGCGCCTGTAATCTCTGCTACTTGGGAGGCTGAGACAGGAGAATTGCTGGAACCCAGGAGGCAGAGGTTGCAGTGAGCCAAGATTGCACCAACATACTCCAGCCTGGGCAACAAGAGCGCAACTGTCTCAAAAAATAAATAAATAAATAAATTAATTAATTAATAAAAATTGAAAAAATAAAACAAAAGTCATTTCTATTTGGCTAATTCTGGCTCAGGATACTGAAAAAACGAGTTTCCATTCACACAACATACAGTGAAATATAATGGGAAATATGGTCTAGACAAGACTAAGAGAAAGAATATGCAGACTCAGCATCCAAAATCCACTGATGTTCTGCAAGTTACCAGGAGTGTAGAAATAAAAAATAAAATACGGGCTGGGCGCAGTGGCTCACACCTGTAATCCCAGCACTCTGGGAGGC